GGGTCACAGTGGAACCGAGAATCTTCCCCAGACATAATTCCTTTCAATAACCCACTCTTCATATGCTCCTTAGCCTCACAAAACCCATTCCAAATCCATGAACTTTTTCTCCCTTTAGTTGCCGAGAAGAAATCGCCATTGGGAAAGTACAGTCCTTTCAAGAGTTTAGCCCACAAGGAGTCGGGATTATCAAACATCCGCCAAACCTGTTTCCCAATAAGAGCAAGGTTGAAAAGGTGAAAATTCTTAAACCCCAATCCTCCTTCATCTTTAGGTTTTTCCAGCTCCCTCGCATTACACCAATGAATAGCCCTTTTCTTCATGGATCCCGACCAAAAGAAGCGCTTAAGGATTGAGTCCATTTTTTTCGTCAAGTTCAGAGGCAACAAGAAAACACTCATAATGTAGGTAGGCAAAGCTTGTATCACTGCCTTCAACAGAACTTCTTTTCCTCCTGGTGATAACAAAAGGCTCTTCCAGGATTCACCTTTCTTCTCCATTCGCTCCAGTAGGAACCTGAATGTTTCTTTTTTGGATCTGCCCCATTCAGTAGGAACTCCCAAGTATTTGTCGTGACAAACCGCCGGCGGAAAGCCGAACTTATTGCTGACAAGACTTCGAATAGCATGGGGAGTGTTCTTACTGAAAAAGATGGAAGATTTAGATGCATTGATTTCCTGCCCAGTTGTGTCCCCATAGATCTTGATGATATCCATAATCCTATCAGCTTCCATGACGCTAGCTTTGCCAAAAATGACAGTATCATCCGCAAACAAACAGTGAGAGATTCTTGGACAGTTCTGATTGAGCTTGATGCCTCTAATGTCCCCTTTAGAGATCCCCTTATCGATCAAGAAAGATAGCGCGTTAGACATAAGGATAAACAAGAATGGAGAGATGGGATCACCTTGTCTTATGCCTCGGGAAGGAGAAAAGGGATCAGTAGGGCTTCCATTCAATAGAATAGAGAAATTGACAGTCCTGGTACAAGCTCGAATCCATCCCCGCCACTTCTCCGAGAAACCATAAGCATGTAGAATAGAGTCAAGTCCATCCCAGTCCACAAGATCATATGCTTTTCGCATATCCAATTTCACCATCATATCCCAATCACCATGACGACGACTTTTGAAGTTATGCAGCATTTCATGAACAATAATGACATTATCCTGAATAAGTCTCCCTCCAGTAAACGCTGCCTGCATTTCCGAGACTAAGCCCGGTAGCCACTTCTTCATCCGACTAGAAAGAATTTTAGAAAGGATCTTATATCTGAAGTTGCAACAGCTAATTGGTCGGAACTGGGAAATCGTCTCTGGAGCAAGAACCTTGGGAATAAGGACAATATGAGTGTCATTCCACCCTTGCGGCATAATAGAGGTTCTGAAGAAGCTGATCACTTCCTTGCAAAAATCTGGCCCAACTTTGCTCCAAAACTTCCGGTAAAAAGAACCAGCAAAGCCATCAGGTCCTGGTGATTTTGTGGGACCAAGGTCAAACACCGCAGCTTTAATTTCCTCCACCGTCGGATCTCTGTCCAAGTCAAGATTCATTTCGTTCGAGACCAGTCTCGGAAAGTCCCGAAGGGCTTCAACATTGAGGCCATCTTTCTTTGTAAACAAGGCTTGATAGAAACTTGTAACATGAGAGGAAAGAGCATCACTCTGGGTAATCACATTCCCATCAGCATCTTTTAGGGCAGAAATTTTGTTCCGAAGCTTGCGAAGAGCAGTAGATGCATGAAAAAACTTGTTGTTCTGGTCCCCCACACACAGCCAATCATCACGAGCTTGTTGGCTCCAAAATAATTCTTCATCCTTCCAAATGGCAGCAAGCTCGTCCATGAGTCCTCGTTCCTCTGCTATAATCTCCACAGAGCGATCAAGTTGCAGAATGTCCACTAACCTCTTTTGAATGTCCTCGGCCCTCTTATTTTGATCTTTATACATTTTTTTAGCCCAACTAGTTAACTCCTTCTCGCAATTCTGTAGTCTTTCATGACAAGCCCCTCCACTATCCCAGTTACGATTGCTCTGCTAATTGGTCTCTTAACACATGTGGTTGTCTTGTTGATACTTCAGAATATTCCTCATCATCCGTCCCATTTTCTGCTAATTATTAGCTTCATTGAATTACTATTTCATACATTACAACTTGGTATTTGGAACAAGTTACCACACACATACTATATGCCACAATATGTGTTATTTGTTATGTGGTATTTGTAAGAAAAAAACATTTGGATAAATTTCAAGTAGTGGTATTGTTTTTTTTTTTTTTGACGTTAGAGTAGTGGTATTGTTAATGTGTTATTTCCACTCAGATTTTTTATTTTATCAATTTGTCCTTCTTAACCCCATCTCTTGTTAGTGGGTGTGATGCTTGGTGAACATACATATACTATAGTATTAATCAGTGGCGAACCCAGAAATTTTGAGTAGGGGTGTCCGCTTTCAAAATAAAATAAAATAAAATAATTCTTAAATAAGAAAAGTATCCGAATAATATTCAACAACACAAATATTTGGTTAATACAAGTTACAACAAATTTCCACGTCGTGTTTTCATATTCTGAAAATATTCTAAAATACACTCCGTGTCTAGAGTATTCAGCAAATCTCTTTCAATATATCCTACGAGACAATCATTCACAAACTGATCGCCTAGTCGATTTCGAAGCTTGTTCTTGATGTAACTCAAAGCTGAAAAGGCTCTTTCAACACTTGCAGTTGCAACCGATAAAGTCAATACAACTTTGAGAAGCAAATATACCCATGGATATGATAGATTCACTTTTGTCTTCACCATCAGCTGACACAATTCATCAATTCCTTTTAATCCATGGAATAACTCATCATTCTTCTTAGAATGATAATAATTCTCAAAGTCCCTTAGAAGAAATGAGTCAGAAAGATGACCAAACTCTGTAGGATAAAATCGAGTAAGACTAACCAGCTTCTCCCTGTCAAAAGCAGCAAACTCATTCTCCGGGCTAAGAGAAGCCATACAAGTCAACAACCTAGTATTCACCTCATCAAAACGGTTGTTCAACTCTTGCAGCTGCATATCAAGAACATAATAATACAATTCAACCTGATAGTGATGCAAGTTTGTGATCTGTGGAGCCTTGCGCCTTGATCGTCCTGGAAGAACATACTCATCATCCATGCCAAGAACGTGAACAGATTCCTTAGTGCAAAACAAGATAACATCCTCTAGTAGAGACTCCCATCCTCGATCTCTCATCTCTTGTAATCTAGTTTTTCCCACACGCCGGATTGAAGGAGCTCGTCGGATTGAAGGAGCTTGATGGAAGCAGCCAGCACGCAAGGTCTATTTTTTGCGAAGTTGAAGCTGAGTCGTGTTTAGTTTTAGGGTTTTGTTGTCAAATTGTGGATAAAATTAATATGTTTATAAGTATCAGTATCTTAAAATTATAGCAAGATATGAGTTGTAGTGTGATGGAAAACATGTTAGCTAATAGCTACAGTGTCCCAGTTTCAAATCCCATAAGCCACTATATTTTTTTCCTTTTTTTTCTAGACTCAAACTACTACCGGGAGTTCGATAAATTTTCTCCGAGATTTTAGGGGTGTCCGGGGACACCCCGATCCTCCCTGGGTCCGCCCATGGTATTAATATGTACGAAGTTCTATATGGAGCTTTAACATAATATTATGTTAAAAGATATAAAATAATTATAAAGTACATTTCAAAAATGCATATAGTACTAATATGTATGGATTTTATGTCTTTTAATGGAATATAGTGTATCAAAACATGTTGAGTTTTTGTTAGTGTTAAACATAATTAAGGTAATAGGGGCAACAAATAATGGTTATGGTGATCATTGGGAAAGAAGAGACAAAAATGTGGACTAAAAAGGAGAGGCTAGTTTGGAATTTATAAATAAAAAAGGAATGAGGACAAAATTAGAACAAAATAGAGAATAACTTGTTATTTGAAGAATACCAGCGCTCCACATGATATTTGTCAAATAACAGGGTTTGTGGTATTTGAAGAATAATAGGTGTCAGATGTTGCATCTTTTTTCTCTATTCAAACATGTAATTTGGCCCAAAAATAACACTCCCAAATCATTAATTCCAAACAACAAATTGTGAACTTTTTGTAAGTATCTATATCGATGAATCGTTTCTCCTTGATTGGAGTGATAATTTTGAACATATAATTGTGTTGCATGTATCATTGGCTCGTGAAAATAAAAATGCAAGAATGTCATGTAAAGAATCCACATGTAACTACTATAGTCAAATTCAAATGTAATTGTAAGTATAACATCATTGTACTCGATATGAGGATCTCAATGCAAGGATATCACGTAAAGAATCCCAACGTAATGAATCCAGCCAAATTCACTTTCTTTAGATGATGTTCTACACAGTCAAGCTACCATGATGGCAAAAGCAGGCGTCAATATGAGCTGATATTGTCGGATCTCGCGCAACCTGCGATCTCTACCGTTAAACATACGATTTTTTTACTTGTTATTCAGAATATCAACGAATCACCGAAAACAATTAACTATACAGACCATATGCGATCCAACAGTGTCAGTCAGCCATTGGCAAAGCCTGAGCATAATGAATTAGGTGAATGAACCGAAAAAGTTGGTTTCTTCCTGGGAGGAAGATTCTAGTCAGTCGAGAACGCCTATACACCTCCACGAGTTGATGACCATAGAGATTATTCTCCTTCTCTTGTGCATTTATTCCAATCAATAAAAGTTGAGAAATGAAAAAAACAACGAATGGAGTTGCAAGGCAAACCAAGGAAAATATGGCTTGTCAATTGTGACACTATGTGAGAGGAATCTTTTACAGTTAGTTATGCATGAAGCTTAGGCTTTATAACAGGAATCATCTTTGCGAAAGAAACTTCTTCAGGTGCACTGAATCCAAGCACATAGAATTGTAGTTTCCAGTCTCCCCTTCCCATTCTTTCTACACTAACCGATCGAGACTCCCCCAAGCTTCCAGCACCAGCATTACAGCAAGTTTTGGTAAAATCATAAATCACATGTCACAAGTATCAAAGTTGAAGGGCCAAAATTGACATTATCAAGAACATACACAACTTGCGTAAACTAATACAGCCATCATATATACACAGATGCAAAGCATTCACCCAGATTCTATTCTGCAGCTGGTGAATAAACCATTTGTACAGAAGGAACACATACACTTCCCGTCAGGGCAGCACCACCACCATAACCATATCTCTCTCTGTTCACCAAACTCTCGCTATCCGCAAACCCAATGAATGGCTAATCAACTTCTTCCTTTCCCGCCTTGGCCTTCATATTCTTTTGCTGTTTTGCCTTTGCTTCAGCTCCCGTCATATACATTCATGGTATCGGAAGCAACTGACACGATGGTTGTTCGTTAGACCCGATACCTGCATGAAAGAGTATATAACCGTCGGCCCCACACTACGGAATCCCCTTCTCACAAGATCTTTGCTCATCGCCTCTGCTTTTGAAGTCTTCACTGGAACCTGGCGGGTGTACCGGAATTGGTTCACTAAGGGCTTCTGGTTCACAAAATTCCAGATGTACTTGTCGAATGACCCCAACTCTTCTACAACCTGTGCTACATATTAACAGCCGCAATTGGGAGTTCTATACTTGCATATACATTTTCCTTCTCTACTTCCAATGTATTCCACAAACTACGGACCTTGCAAATTTGGCCTGCATTTTCAATGATTGATCGCAGCTTCTGTTCTGGTAGCAGCTTCCTGCCATGATGAGCTTCCTCTCATTCAGTTTCGACAAAGCAACTGGGTCAAAACCTAGAAACACTTCCCTGCACCCACACAAGACATACACAAGAATAACTTGTTAACTTTGGTGTCTAGCCAGGACAGAACTCAACTATATTTCCCGGAGAGGAAGCTTAGTACCTAAATGTCTGCCGCTTACTAAGAATGGCAGGCCATGATAGTTCTGCCAAGGCACCAGACAAACATAGTAGTTCAAAAAGTTTCCTGCAATTAAGAAAGGCATAATCAGAGATTGAATGCATTAAAAGAAAAAGCGGTTTAAGCTCAAAATCCCCATCTAGTTAGAGAGTACCTGTCATCATGGACTGGCACTCCCCATTCTTCGTCATGAAACGCTGTGTAGCATTGTTCTTCACGACATGAAAAAGCATGTTAGCAAAACCCAAAGTACTGACCAGGACGTCAAATTGTGACAACAAAGTAAGAAGCCAAGAGAACCACTAGCTTTCCCATATGAAGAAACAATTCACGGAAGCTTGTGAATCATATCAATAAGTTATAGCAATATGGAGCAGTAGCTCACACATAGCAAGATTACTGACCAACATGACAGATAACATTCGGCATTTCCAAATAAAGCAATGCTGTTAACAATGCAGGTTAAGAGGAAGCCTTCCACACTGTTGGGATCATTCATTTTTTTTTTTTTTTTTTGACAATAAGTTGGGATCATTCATGTAGGTCCATGAATATCAAGTTCTTCCCGGGTTCTACCAATCACAAACAAGTAACTGGAACCAGAGATAGGAAGTCTGAGTGCTTTTCAATTCCTACCAACTCAAGTCAATTTCCACATACAAGCTTCACAAATCCCACAAGAATTATTGAAGGTCAATGCTGATCTAGTTCTTGCAAACCCTAAAAGCTACATTCAAGTGCTTTCATCCATCAATCACCAGGTCAACAAGAACCCGGCTCTCTCTTGATATCGTTCCAGACAACGGAAATGTTTATAAGAATACTAAAATTGACAGAGACTCACCAGTAGTAGGAGTAACCCAAGGGCACCTCTTCTTACTCTGATAAAAGCAATCGACTTTGCCCACTAACCCACCATAGTCAGTCTCCTCCAATGCTGCAATTCCACCACCGCCACCATTTTTCTCGTCCTCCTTGTCAATTTTGACTCCACATTGCCTCCTCTTCACCACGCCGCCGCTCCGCCGCATTCCACCCGAGTCGGACCACACCGACGCCGACGAGGATGACGACGCCCGACTGCTGCTGCTCGCCTAATCCGAAGAAGCTTCAGACGAGCAAGACGCGTTCATCGATTTCTGCCGCAGAACCGCCGCCACTTTCCCAGATTTCCTCTCCTTATTGGCCTCCGACTCTTGCTTTCCGGGCTTCTTCGCCGGGTTTTTCGGGGCCTTGTTCTCCGGCTCGGGGGTGTTCAACGACCAAAATCTCGGCGGGCCCGACATTATCCGATTCTGCCCCGATAGAAGAAATGCCTCTCTCCTCTCCGGGTTTCAGCTTTGATTCCGCGCTTCCCACAGGCGAAATCTCTCACTGAGAACAGGAATTGGGCCGCGCATTGTCAGCAACTGGTGCTGGTGGTGTAACTGTGTTCAAGGAGGAGAGAAAAGGGAGGAAAGGGGAGCGGAGGGAAAAGTGGGATGGAAAGCAGCACAATTTTCCATAAATTTTCCTCTGTTTTTTAAGGAAGGAAAAGTGTAAAGGAAGAGAAAACAGGAGAGAAAATTTTCTGTAGAACCCAACCCTCCAATTTGGAGAGAAAGTTCTCCACTACCACTTGCTATAAAGGAATTAATTAAGTTTTATTTTATTGGAGAGAAAGTTCTCCAATTAAGTTTTATTTTATGATCACCTATTATAGATGATTAACTAATAAACTATTATTATTTGTTAACATAATTACAAAATGGAAGAGTAATGGTTTACGTCCTCTTAGTTATTAATTAACTAAGAATATATTTTTAAGAGAGGTAGGGAAAAATTTGAGGGGATAATTATGGATGAAGACAAATATTATTATGAGTTGTAATGAAGGTAAACTCGTGAGTCGCTCCAAATTAACTCAGATACGATGAGGAAAACGGGCGCCACACACCCATCGAATTGACTCGTAACAAGATTTTTGGGCTCACGACATCATTTTTCTCTTTAGTTTGTGAATTGCGCATTTTTCGGTTTTCCCCTTCACCACCCTACTTTTCCACCTATTACCATTTCTATTTTTTATTTTGAACAAAAGAAGAAGAAAAAAAAGGAACACCCATTTTTATTTTAACAAAGAGCAATGGTAATAGGTGAAAAAAACCAAAAAATTTAAGTGGTCTATGCTGATTTACCTCATACGTAACGTTGTTTTGCACGATACATAACACTGTTGTATGAGATATAAAAACTTGTTACGCTCCTCTTACAATTTATGTATCTGTAATTTGTTGTATGTTTATATATTTAGTTGCTATGTTATTACTCAATAAAATAGTTAACAAAATTTTAGTGTAAACAAATTTGATCCACATTACATAATTAATGTAAATAGTATAAACACATAATTAAATTATTTAACTATTCTATCATCAATAAAATATAATACATATCACAATTCCCAATCTACTTTTTCCCTCCCACTTTCCCTTCCACTTTCCTCCATTAAACAACATTTTCTTTCCAATTCCCTCTAATTTCCCTCCCTTCCAAACTTAACCTCCCCTCCAAATTTTCCTACCCTCCCCTCCTTTTCCTCCCTTTCTTCATGAACATAGGGAGTCGGGTGTTTGGGAGGTGAGTAAATGAGAAAAAACTACAGGGGAAGTGTTGACTTACTGTCTTCCTGGGAAAGGCGGAAAGCAAGGTATTATCGACGGGAAGAAAGAAAGGAGGAAGAAAAGCTAGGATGGGCAATGGTATCGTTCCCTTTATCGGTTAATAATTTTTATGATATTTTTCACTATGAAATATAGTGACTAGAATCTATACACAATAATTTGTGTTTTTTCGTTCCTTCTTCCTTATTAGATATTGTGTTCATATTGATTATTGAATTACTATTTTTTGTTCTAAAATTTATGAAACTAAGATGCATTTTTTGAGAAACATGAAACTAAGATGTATATTGATAAAGAATGTAAGGTGCCATCTTCCCTCTTAAGGCTTAAGCACTACATATCATTGTTTACCTACTGTTAAATCAAAGTCTTTCTAACTTGAGTACGAGCTACAATGACTTTTATTATTGTCGATTTTTCCCAAAATATTAGGTATGTTGCGTTATCACCGTCGATATTGTCGATTGTCGAAGATGATATTTATGTTATGGGTTGAAAACAATGCAACTTATGGAACAGGAGACGATGATGGTAACATGGGAGGGACCATTGAGGGTGAGAGCATAGTTACTAGAGCGACTTGCATAATAGTGTAGTCTACGATCTAGCGGCCACGACCTCATTGTTTCTTAGTACTAGTATAGGCTCGCTCGTTATCGCTTCGCGTGTAAGCGACAATATGATATTTTGTAGAGTAATAGTTTAAATAAAAAGTAGTGAGATTTTATTTCATTCTTAATATTCTTTCCATGAGTTTGTCATCTACAACACAATGTGGTCGACTACGTGATAAACTTTCAGAAGGGAGAAGAGTCGTCGATAAAATGATTTATAATTTGAAACTTCTCTCATGACGACATTGTCCAGTTTTTAGTCTTTTTACTTTGTTTTTATCATGATTCTCTTTTCATGGATTTTCGGGGCTGATCGCAAGTTTGAGGAGGTTCATCTCGTGTTGACCGGGGCCGAATTAGGTTGAATACCATAGGTTTGTGTTCAATTAGCATTCTCAATCAAAAGGAAAAACAAATAAAAAAACACTAAAGTGGATGAAACTCGCTCGAGCCAAACTCAGCAACAAAAAGTTCAACACGTTTGACCGGGTTGAAACAATTTTTTTAAAAAATTCACACGTAACCCAACATGTCAATTAAAAAAGCGAATAAAAATCACTCCCGGGAAAAAACTTGTAAATATTGGGTTCAAGTCGTTTTGATCAGATGAATTAGATTAGATACCTTGGGTATGAGTTCGATTGTCATTCTCAATCAAAGGGAAAAGATAAATAAAAATACTAAGGCAGATAAACTCACTCTCAACCAAAAACTCTCGACGTTTAGTTCAAGTCGATCTGATTTGGTCTAAACAGTTCTTACAGAATTCACACTCGACCAAACATGTCAGTTATAAAAGTGGATAAAACTCACCTCAATACAAAACTCGTCAGCACAGGTCTGGGTTCAATTATCATTCTCAACAAAAACGAAAAAAGAGCAGTGATAAAATATTAAGGGGGCAAGCCACGTTCTCGATCCAAAACTCGTGAACACCGTGTTCAACTCGCTTTGACCGGGTCGATTTGAGTTTTTAAACAAATGCACACTCTACCCGACCTGTTAACTATAATAGCGGATAAAACTCTCCCCAATACAAAACTCGTCAATACCATGGGTTTGAGTTCAATTGTCATTCTCAACAAAAAGGAAAAAGAGAAATTTAAAAATACTACAGCTGGGTTTAAAGTTGCTTTGACTAGACGAAATAGATTGGACACTCATTGGTTTGGGTTACCAAAGCAATTGAAACCCGGACCCGATACAAAACTCATCAACATAGAATAAATATGGTATATATTTTAGATAGCGTCTTTGATAAACGTTGGAGGGACACAACTTGGATTCCACCGGCAATATTTCAAAACTGAGTTTGTAAATAGGTGGGCGAATGTGAGGATTGTACAGACGATATATGGTATGGATCTTCGGTAGTGGCTGGCAAACGGTGGAAGATGACAACATAGTTTTTTGCCAACAGTGTTCGAGATGGCTGCAAATTGGTGGGCGAAAGTGATCATTTTGTGGGCTAAAGACGATGGACAATCGATTTAGACTGATCAGAAATAGTTAAACATAGAGGATGTAAAATGAGAGAGTTGGGTAAAAAGACACTTGGGAAAGATTTGAGAAAATGGATATTAGATTTGGAAAATCTAATGGAAAAAGTTCAAACAAATGGTATGAAATGGGAAGGTGGGGGTAATAAGAGGTTTTCCAAATTTAGAGATTTAGGAGAAGTACATGTGAGTGAAGAAAAACCAAAAAAAATAAAAGTTGCCCACTTGCACTTGGAGTAGTTTGAGAGACACTAATGAATAGTAACTCAAACCATAACTTTTATATATTAATTAATTAATTAATTTTCTATCGTGGCTAGATGGGGACCATATGTTACTAAGTGATAATTGGAATTTGTCTGTAGGGAGAACAGTTGACTTGATCTTAGCATGTAAGATTAAGTGATAGTATGATAATGAATAGTGAGAGCAATAGTTACTGGAATAGTTGGCTTGGTTAGTCACTACAAGAAATTATGCTTTCCGCAACCATCAATAATGGTCGCTGAAACTAAAAAAATGGTTGCCGAAACAGTTCTGCGACCATAAAAGACGGTCGCCAAGATGGTCGGCAATACAGCGTTGGCATAGGTCCAAGGCGACCTTTTAATATGTGGTCGCTGAATGTATACTTTAAGCAACCATAGGGTATAGTTGGCAAAACACCAGTTTGGCGACGATCTATTTATGGTTGGCTTTTACATGTTTTCAGCGACAATATAAAATGGTTGGCGTAAATCTAGAGTTTGAACAACTATAACTATGGTCGCTACAGGGTGACGTTTCAAGCGACAATCTCATTTATGGTTGTCAAATGAGAGGTTTGGGCGACCTTTTTTATGGTCGCCAAACAATCTGTGGAGGTTGGGTAGTTAGGCAACTATTATTATATGGTTTCCAAAAGGTGTGTTTAAGAGACTATTTAGCCTATGGTAGGTGAATGAGAGATGTGAACAGTTATAAACCAACCTTTAATTTATATGGTAGTTAAACGCTAACTATAAATAAAACTTAACAAATCAAAGCATACAATAGAAAACATAAATAATATTCAATTGATCTAAATCTTATCCAAAATGATATCTTATTACGAAAAGTGGCAAAAACATAATATTGTGTTCTACTCCTACACATATCCATAATACAATTATCATCCTGAATATTTAGACGATCTCAATGGTTAGCAAGCCTATACTTAGTATCTCCAAGCATTCTTCACATCATTTGAATAAATGATGCATCTACCTGTAATTTCAACAAAAAGAGAAGTATAAGTAATATTGAGTTATCAACAACTGCTAATTAAACAAGCTCTACCAAGATCAATAATAAGAAAACAAAAGAGGGCAGATGGAGGGTGAGAGAAGGGAAGGAAAAAAGTACCTATTGTAAGCATATTAAACATGGAAGGCAAGTGCCGCATCATCAATTGATTCCGAAATCGAGCAGAAGCAAGCCAAGGATTTATGAACTTCCATCCATAGTAGTTCATGGAGCATTTCCTATTTCC